AGTTTAATAGTTTCTAGGGTCAGAAGGGACCTGAACAGATTATCAAGTTTGACCCCCCCCCCGCCCTGGGCAGGAACAAGTGCTGGGATCATAATATCCCAGCCAGATAGCTATCCAACCACCTCTTAAAGACCCCCAAGACAGGGGAGAGCACCACCTCCCTTGGGACCCCATTGCAGAGCCTGGCAGCCCTAACTGTAAATTAATGCCTCCTGATATCAAGCCTGAACCTGCTGTCAATCAACTTGTGGCCATTATTCCTTGTTATCCCAAGTGGTGCCGGGGGGAACAGAGCCGCACCTGAGCTTTGCAGACAAGTTACAAAACATGCTACATTTGGAAATATCCTTATCTGATACCTCATGCAAATGAAGGATCAGATTTTCACCCCATCAGCCATTTTTTAAACTGTCTGCAGCCATGCTCTTGTGTTTGGTCACAGATATAAACTGCTTTCTGTGGCCCACTGGGTGCAAATTGTCACTTCTGTCTGCACCAGGGTTTAGGAGGCCAAGACAGTTGGATTTGATACTAGCCAGACACCACTCCCTTCCATGCCCATTCACAGAAACTGAGATTCCACTGGCCTTATGGCTACCTATGCTTGGGACAGACTGTTCACCTATTTCTGTTGAATAAACTGTCCAGCTTTGCTGTAAGAAAGCACTAAAAATCATGGTATCCCCTGAGCATTTCAGTCCTACTGCGAGTAAAACCAGCCATGTCAGGGGCATGTAGTTACAGCACACAGCACCCAGACATGCTAAGAACAAAGGGCCCGACTCTGCTTGCACTTCTGGATCCCATCAGTGGCTCCTGGGATTATGAAACAAGTCTCCCCTCTGCATAGTAGCCACACACCAGACAGCTTAGTTTTCAAGATCAAATGGGAGTAGTGATAGTCTGTCCAGCCTGAAGGCCTGTTTCTAAGTGTCATGGCTTTTATCTGTTTCACACATTCTCTCTCCAATTCCATCTCACCACACTGACTTTACCTAAGCCAACATGATTCCCAGCCACAAGCCCCAATATACTCTACACTCTCTTCCACCAGCCTACCAGGTCTGCTAGGGGAAAGGGGCCTCCAAGCCTGCCACTGGCAGTCAGCACTGAGTTTGGTACTGGGAGCTGCTTCCAATAGCAATCCTCATGGCTTTTCTAGGCTTGAGATGCTCCATCCTGCAAGGACTGACAGAGAAAGGAGAGCTGCTGAGACTGGTTCAATCCACTTACTGTAGCTAAGGGAAGAGAGGCAGAAGGCCCAGAGTGTGAAAGTAGATGGCCAAGCATCTTTAAAAACAAACAGCATGTTTCTATTTCAAATGACATTTTCCTCTCCCCCACCCCACCCCGTGATTAAGCTGCCTTCAGGCTACCTGGCCAGGACCCACAGCCCCTCCATGCCCTATTTAGTCTCCTCTCAAGGTTCCCTTTATTCTTGGCCAGCTTGGACCCTCAAAGAAGCATCTGAAAGACAATAGAGACCAAGCACCTGGTCTCAGCTTTCCCTCTCATCCCTTTCCTGGGGTTTGTTTGCACTGGTAATAACAAGCTGAATTGGATTAAGTAGAAATCCCCAAGAGAACAAACAACGTGTGAGATACAGGCACCCAACTCCCTTTGACTTGACTGGGCCCCATTAGCAGTAGTCAAGACTTGAAGACTTGTTTGTAATGATTACTTCTTTTTTTTTTACCCTAGAAACTGTGGATGAAGTTTACTATGGAGTATTGGAGAAAAATAAAAAATCACTCCTCAGCATCTTCTCTTCAGGTTACAATTTCCTTAAGCTCTTGGAAAAGGGATTGCGTAAAGGCCTGACCGAAAACTGTCACCAGCTGGCCTCAGGGAGGCTTTATATTGGTCTCACACGTCTGCCAGATGGCCAGAAAGTTGTAATTTCAGACTTTTGCTCAAAGGAGGAGGTCATTCAGGTAAAACAGACTTTGTTGTCCTTGCAGTTTGGAATAAAGGTGATAAAAATCCCAGAGTTAGAACAGCAAGTGTGCTTATCAGGAGGGCTGAATTTTTCCATGTTTAGCTGAACTTAGTATGGGCCAAGTGCAAAACCATGAACCCAGCATTGGTTTCACGGAAAAGCACAGATGCGGCTAAAAGAATCATAGTTTCTCTTCTTAGTTTGGTCATTGATCTGCTGAGTGATGTTGTCCAAGGTACCCCTACTGTGCCTGAGTTTCCTAGTCTGTGAAATTGAGGAATGCAAAGCACTAAATAGGACCAGTCCCATCTTTTTCACTACAAATGTGTTTACTCTTTTATTCTCTCCTTTGGCTGTAGGCAGTGCTCTGCAGCTGCTTTATTCCTTGCCTATGTGGATGGATCCCCCCTTCCTTCCGAGGCATGGTAAGCTCTTTGGCAGCTATTATGTGGGCAGGGGTGGCAATAAGAGTGTTTGCACCAACCTGGGCCATGTTGTAGACTCTTAGACATGACGGGGATGATGTGTACCTCCTGGCCTCTTGCTGCTTAGACCCTTGCTACCCAAAACATTCTGGCCCATATCTCCACCCTAAATCCCCTCAATGTATTGTTGCCTTGCAATACATTCCTGATGATATTTCTGAGTCAGTGGCTGTAATTTGGGAAATCCCTAAGGTGCTGTTCATTGCTACCAGCTTTCCATAACAGGAGGTACAGGCAGAGGCTCACTGATTTACCATTAAGATGCTGTGTTGCCCTGGTTAAGTGACTCCCGCTCTTTTTCCCTATTGCTTTTCTCCATTTTATCTATTTAATCTGTTGGGCTCATCCAGGCTCTCGCTTTTTTCAGTAGCACAATGGGACTTTGGTTTCAACTGGGACCTCTATGGATTGGTCTACACTACAGCACTAGGAGGTCCTCCTAAAACATATATATTGTGCTTTGTTTTCCTCAGCGATATATTGATGGAGGATTCACAAGCCTGCATCACCTCTCTGACCCAGAAACTACAATTTACGTATCACCATTTGCAGGGGAGAATGACATATGTCCAAGAGATTGTCCAGCTGCTTTCTACACTATCAAGTTCCTTGACTGCAGTTTTCAGATCTCAGTTGAGAACCTGTGCAGGATCTCCTACAGCATATTTCCTCCTTTATGCCTGGTAAGTATTCTTAGGGACAGAGCTGTGTCTGGTGCTACTAGTCACCGCTCCTGGAGCTCTGCCCAATTTACTCCAGCTCAAGAGCTGCCTCAAAAGAATGTCCCATGCTTCTATCAGACACTTTGCAGATTATCTGAGGGCTCCAATTAGCTCAAGGTAACAATGATATGTAAAAAAACAAAAACAAAAAAGAAGCCCCCAAAAAGGCAATATCGGCTACAAAGGAATGGCTGTTTAAAACAGCAAGTTCTTTGTCATGCCAGGACAGATGTGGCTAGGTAGGGGGTCTTAGAAGTACCCCCATGCCCTGATCCCACAGTGTTCTACTTTTCCTCCCTTTCCAAGGGGAAGGAGGGAGTGAGAACAGTTGGTTCCCTGACAGCCTGCACAGGGGCGAGCTCCCAGGATTTCCAGACTGGCAAACCAGCACCCAGGTTGCATCACTAATAAAGATCCCACCATGGAACTCAGGAGTCAGATCAGGAGTCAGCTGCGATCTGGCTCCCAAGCCAGGTTATGATCCTGGTGTGCCTGCATCCCAGGAGCCAACAGTGGTCTGGGCTCCTGGACTGCAGGCATACTGGGACCTTGAAAAGGTGAGTGGTTTCTCGGCAGTGGCAGCAGAGGCCCCATCATCTTCGCCATCTATGGCTGTCTGCAGATGGGGAACTGTACGGGTTGCTGGGACGCCTGACACTAGCTGGGTGTTCAGGCTGCCTGCGAGTGCATCTGGGCTGACTCGGGGTGGGGAGAGCTATGAAGCAGCCCCCTAATGCCCCATTGCTGGAAAGCATGCCTTTGTGGCCGAGGGGTCCCTCTGAACCTGTGGCTGAGTGCCCACAGCGCTTGTTACTTTTGTACCGCTAGAAATCTTGTACTACCAAAACAATGTGTCCAGAGGCAGCTTTGAGAAAGTCTAGCCTTCATTTTAGGCCTTTGAAAATGTCTCTCTTCAGATGCAGTCACCTATCACAGTCATTCTAGTTATTAAAGCTCTGTACATTGCAAAAAAATTCCCTATTTTATGACCTTGGAATGGTTTTCCTCTCCAGAACACACGTGAAATATATGAACAAGGATATCATGATACCGTTTTCTACTTGCAAATGAACAGTAAGTGCTGCATAGCAAATGAATTATGTTCTTTCCCTCTGGCACTGACACTTAGGAGACAAGCTGAATAAAATGCTGCTTGGAATCCTTAAGGTTGGTATTTCATAGCTGAAAGCAGGAGATGCAAGAGCTTTAACAGAAAACCCTGTAATCGGAGCTGTGCTGATCCTCTGAGCCTTGTGCAGAGGTGACATACGGTGCACACGATAGGGCTGCAGCATTGGCCAAGAAAGATATGAAGCAAGCTTTTTGACCTGAGGAAAGGCATTTTGTGCCTGAAGCCGAAATATCGAGTCAATCCAATAAAAGAGACCACCAGAAAAATCCTTGCCTCTATAATGCACACTCACCAGTGTCTTAGGTTTCCATATCCTAGGATTGATTTCTAAAGAGGAAATCCCTCTCAGGGTTTTCTGAGCCTTGCCTTTTCCTTGGACTCTATCACTTGTGGGAGTGGGGCCAGTGTGAGCTTTATTGTAGCTATCGGCGACCTTACTATCACACCTGATTAGGCCACAGACTCTTGCACAGGCAGGAGCAAGACTGTTCTTTACTGGAAGTAGTTTCTGTAGATGAAGTGTTGCTTCTATATCCCAAGCTTCACCAAGATACCCCACCAGCAGCTCACTCACTGGTCCAGGCACAAGCTACAGAGCTCAGCCAACAGCTACAGCTGTGAGAGTGTCAGTACAGGCCTCTCCCCCCTCAACTTTCCGGGGAGAAAAGCAGCAGCTGCCTTGGCAGCTGTATGGCACATGACCTGTGCCTCCAGGCGTGCTTCTTTTCCAGTGAAGAAAATAGCTTCCCACTTAAGACACTGGGTGGGGATTTGGGGGGCAGAGGTGTATGTTTGCAAGAAAGTTTGGTATATGCACTTGTTTCCTTGAGTGGGGTCTATAAAGTCAAGAAAAAAGAGTTATTAACCCCATTTAAAGCTGGATAACAGGCCTGAAGAGACTAAGGGCAGAATTCAAGTCCTTTTTTTTTTTTGTACGATTTATGATTCTATTATTATTCTACTTGTAAGACCCAGCTAGACAAGACATTGGCAGGGATTATATAAAAGGGGGTGGTCCTCCTTTGAGCAGGGGGTTGGACTAGATGACCTGAAGTCCCTTCCAAGTGTAATTATTTATGATTCTATAATACCCATCCAATGTGACTATAAATACATAAACAATGTCCGCTCAGTAGCCTACATGCCGCACTGGCTGGGCAGCTACATGTATATGTATATCAGCATGAGTCCGGGAAGAATGAGGAGGGTTCTCCCAAGTCTTAGCAGCTGACAGATGAGGTATTTTCCTATTGCCTCTTCAGTCTTCCTTTTGGCCATGAGCAGTACACCTTGCAGTGAGGCAGTATAACCACAGAGCAGCAAAGAAGCTTCTGCCCCACTAGGTGTAGGGCTCCAGACTAGCACACAGACCCTTTGCCTCCTAGTGCTAGTTAGAACCATGCATGGGCAAGCAGGGCATTGCCTAAAGGGTTTGAGGGTGCAGGAACAATGGCTGAAGGGTCGCTGTTGCAGAGGAAGACGTCAGCTCCCTTTTTGCCACCAGAAAAGGTGGCTTTTGGGCTCCTGCACTTACATGTCAGGAGGTGACACCCCCCACCCTACCCCCACCAGCAGCAGCAAACCTCTGCCCTGCCTTGCCCCATCTGCAGCAGAAAGCAGGAACATGTGGGGAATGCATTGCTGCCCAAGACACAGTATTGCCCTGTTGCACATTTGCTTTTTAGAGCAGCAACTCTTGTACTGAGCCACACATGCTCTGACTTGTTTGCTGCCTCTGGGCCCCACATAATCCCACTCTTGCCTGGCTTCAAGGTGAGCACTGGAAGGTGTCTAACCTGAGGGAGAGGAGGGATCCTATCCCCCAGATCTTCTGCTTCTTGGACAAGTGCCCCTAACCACTTATCCACTGGGGTTAAAACATGCAAGGACACTCCTCCTCTGGACACTAACACTCATTGGTCATGGGATTTTGTCTCCTAAAATTTCATGACTTGCGCACAGCTGTGTACTGTCCCAGCTGTTGCATATCCTCCCAAGCATGCACAATATACAAGCACACACCACCCCCTCTTATATAATAATATATATGCACATGTTTGTTTGTGCACAGCAGAGTACTGGAATCAAAAAACTGCCTTATGTGGCAGGAAAACTTCCATTTAGGCACCCAAAGGGGAATAGATTTCCACCCTAAGTGACCTAACATGAACTCTAGGATGGGGCTGGGACTAGATCCCAAGTAACCCCATGTTCAGTTCTGTGCCTGTGCATTCATCTCTGATTTATACCTGAATTCATCCTGTGCACCAGTATGCAACTCAGGTTAACAGTGGATTGAAGAGGCAGAAGATTGACTTTTATTAGTAGATGTTTTGGACTGGGAATCCAGGAAAAACGATGACAAAGCCGATATGGAAATACAAAGCGCCCAAGTGAGGGACTAACAATAGAGGGATGGGGGAGAGGAGGGGAACGCGACTAGGTTACAAACGATACAATGTTAGCCAACTAAGCCCAGGGGTGGGGGATGGGG